AAAAAAATATTCAGGAGTTTAGTTTATAGACAGAGGTGTTCAATTTATACAAGTGTTCAGAGGTGTTTATTTTATAGAGGTGTTTAGTTTATAGTGGTGTTCAAGTTTGCAAGGTGTTTAGTTAATAAAGGTTTTCAGGTCAAACATTCATTTCCAGTAATATAGGATCGCATTAATTACCAGAAGACATACAAACAATTTAATAAATGATTTATAAGTGATGCAATTTAGACTGAGAGTACTTGAGTTATTTCACCAAGATTTAAGGATTAACACATAACACCCTTCAGATGATTTAATGCTCATGTATGTCACATCTAATAATATTTGAAGAGACTTTCTATGAAATACAAATCATTTCAAATGTCAGATCTCAATACCTATAGTTATCTCACAGATGCTCTTAAAGCCCATTGTCACATCTAAGTAATAATATTTGAAGAGACTTTCTATGAAAAACAAATTGTTTCAAATGTCAGATCTCAATACCTTTAGTTATCTCACAGATGCTCTTAAAGCCCATTGTCACATCTAAGTAATAATATTTGAAGAGACTTTCTATGAAATACAAATCATTTCAAATGTCAGATCTCAATACCTTTAGTTATCTCACAGATGCTCTTAAAGCCCATTGTCACATCTAAGTAATAATATTTGAAGAGACTTTCAATGAAATATAAATCATTTCAAATGTCAGATCTCAATACCTTTAGTTATCTCACAGATGCTCTTAAAGCCCACTGTCACATCTAAGAGGTATGTAAATGTGTCGAAATGGGCGTAGTGCGAGTGGTTAGTGCTAGTAGCACTAATCCGAAAAAGTACTAGATCTGGCGCTAAAACGGCACTAGATCTAGTGCTAAAACGGCACTAGATCTAGCGCTAAAATGGCACTAGATCTAGCGCTAAAATGGCACTAGATCTAGTGCTAAAATGTACATAGTGCGAGTGGCATTGATATCACGTTGTCAACGACGTCGAGACATCCCGTAATTGTCCGAAAATAAATTAATATTTACGTAAAATTGTTGTATCTTTCATTCATTGGAAATGTGCTGCAGTGGGAAAATTGAGAATGTACAGGAATGTCATTGTCCACGTTTGTCGTAATAGACCTTTGAAACAACGCGATCGGCCGGGAAACTAGCTCCATGGACAGTGAAACTGCAGGTCAAACTTCGCAATTTTTACAAATTGTGAATAGATACACTGTATGAAATGGTATTGTGTGGAAGTTTGTGTTTTCAACTTCGTCGTATGTAAACTTGTAACTTGTATGTAAATGGTGGAATTCAGCGTTGATTTTTTTTTAAATCGCTGACGTGCCGTTTTATTTCTAGTCGGCGCCAAACTCAATGAAAATAGATCTTCAATGAAATTATGATAACATATATGAACTAAATAAAATGTTGTATACTCCTAGTCTAAGTCCCGGGTCCCTGTAAAGCTCGATGGATTTTGTGTGTACAGCGACCTGTGAATGGGCATGTTGTTCATCAGTACCGCTGCGCTGGGAACCAGACAGAAAATGAACCGTTGTCTGGTTGTCATGACATTGACCTTTGCGGGCATAATCAACCAATGGTAAAAGTGGATTCACGCAATCCTGTTGTTACATTTTACCACGGAGGTACTAACGGAAGGAGCCACAACGCCTCTTAAGTGGCTTATTTCCTTTTCTTTCAACCAAAGTTAATCCTAATAAGGACATTGTATAGCTCATCTTTGATGTCGAAGATAGTTTGCGATTGCTTACACAAGTAACCAGTTAGCGGAATGTGATATAACCTCGCCGATTTTTTAACCATATAATATATGTCTAGACACTTTCTCAGCAATAATATTTTTTAGGAGTCCTTAGGATTTTTTTTTGTAGACTCTCGAAATCTTGTTCTTGTTCTTGTTTACAGTTGCTAATAATTAAAACATGTGAAATCTGTGTAGTTACAAGTTCGTCTGTTGAATTTCCGGTTTCCTTCACAGCTAAACAAACCCAGTGCGCATATGTGATGATCGTAGTTTCATAATGCACATATATTTTATGGTCACGTTAAAAAAAGGGCGATTTTTCGGCAGTTTTTATTTTTTTTTTATTTTGGCGTAATTTTTCGGACATTTCAATCTTTCCTGACGCCTAAAATAGTCTATTTAAGTTTTTATTCAAGAGCGTGTTTATTGTTACTAGCGTGAATGGGTATCTTCGTTTGGACAAAGAGCTGTTATCACTGTAAACAATGTTAAATTATTCTTCTAA